GAGGTGTTTACCGTCCGGCGGCCAACTCCGACGATCAGCTTCGATTTCCCTTTTGTGGATCTTTCGAATTTTAACGACGGTGTAAATTGTAAATGATCCAGTCTCGTGATTAATGTATTACAGAACTAAATAAATCGGAATTTAACGGAAACCTTGATTAATTGATTCCTGTGCCGATTTACAGTAATGCAAAGGGAGTAAATTTCGATTTAAAGTTCAAAGAACGAGAGTTCTTAATTTTTCTATCAGGTGGTAAACTTAATTTCTGCCGTTTCTTCGTCTCCGAAATTAATTTATTTCAAAAGAGAGGATGAACGAATCTTAGTCGTAGTACTTTCCTCCATTTTCTCTTACTTTTTCCCATCTCTTCGGGAACAGGGCAATCCCACGACGGTAGAACGCGACGTCTTTCGAGGCGATCCATTCATCCACCCATTTTTGAACTTCTTCGTAATTAGAGAAGTGTGTGTCTGCAAGTGTGTGTTGCATCGACCGGAAGAGATGGTAATCCGATGGTGCCAAGTCTGGAGAGTAGGCTGGATGTGGGTGGACTTCAGATGTAAGCTCTAGAAGTGTCTGCTTCACGCTTTTGGCAAATAAATAAATTGAAAAGTTCCAAATTTGAAATCACGGGAGTTACATCTTCCCGCTATTTCCGATTCAGAAGGTATAATTCTTGCTAAATTTATGCCCAGGGAAACAGCAATTAATGCGTTTGCTTATTGTTAAACGTAAAAATGTGTATACACAGCCATGGAAAATTAAACGACTCGGAAAGCTCGGTAGAAAAGTGGTCCTCCTTTGCGACAATGCTCGACCACATTCTGCGATTGTGACACAGATGTTGTGTAAATTTGAATGGAAGCAATGACAACATTCACTTTATATTCTGGATCTCTCACCATGTGTTTGACGAAATGAGAAAAGATACGACTGAGAAGAATTTCAGCGCAGTCGACGAAGTGAAGGAAACAACCTTAAAATGGTTACGAGAAATCGGGCCCAAATTTTTTGCGAAGGGATTTTGAAAATTGGTTCCATATTGCGACAAATGTTTGCAGATATTCGGTTATTGTATCGAGAAGTAGCAGCTGGCTGTTAGTTTTCGTTGGCAATGAAAGAGATTTCTTTTTAGAGGGAGGGTGTTGTAACTTATTTATTGACTCACCCTCACATTTCAATTGGTCGAATTCTTTTTATTTTCAACATTTGGAGTTTTGATTAAAAAGTTTTCGTATTTCCAATATTTATCGGAGTTCGTTTAATTCTGTTCAAATTTGCCAATTCTTACAGCTCCCTTCGAGATGTAGATAGGTAGAATGTTCGAAAAGAAAATTTTGTACACGTCGAATAATTTCGAGGAGCGTTTGGAGACACTTGTATATTTTGATTAGATGTGCTCGAGAATTCCGGAAGACTCAATTTGCATTTGTTTTAGAACGCAAGTTTGCGCTAACTTGAAAAGTTGTACACCAGCACGATGTTACTTGAACAGATTTTCGGGATTGTTGTTCAGCGAGATAGTACTCGCTCTTATAGTATTTGCATAGTATCCTCACGTACATTAAACAAGGCTAACGAATCTTCAGTTCAGCGGAAACAGCGACTGGAAGGATCTAGACTATTGCGTTAAGAATAAGGAATAATATTTCAACGAAGTTGGATCCATAAAAATCAAAAACTTAATAAATAATGAAATTAAAAACGTTTAATAATTTAACGAACTAATTCAGGCTCAATTAATTCTTTAAATTAATCTTTAAATTAATAAACCAATTTTCTTTAATAATTACATTATAATGTCATATAAATTATATTTCCTATAAAAGATTTTATTTTTCCTACGTATATAACGTTCACTTACTTTGCTCAGAGGAAATTATAAATATCAACTTCCCGAAAAGTCGGTCTAATTAACTAACAAGCTACTCGCATCTCGGACCTTGTTAGTTCGCTATTTAATCTCGAGACAAGTGTACCAAAGTGTATCAAGTTCAATAGCAACTCATTCATTAAACAGCGCTACTTTCAGCGAAATTCACGACTGATAATATTACCACAGGGGTTGTGTAATCAATAATAGAAACAATGAAGCGAAACTCTCGGTCGAAGTACTTCGAGTACGAGAAGAGGAGTACTTCCCCCTTTCGTTATATTGTCTCCGCTATGTTTTGAAAATGGGAAAAGTTTGATTACGTGCCTTGTCATTAATTTCCTCTTAATTCACAGAAGTTCCAAATGTCATTTGCCGCGTTATCTCGTGAAAGTAGAGTATGATCTCGAGAAAGAAACAACATTGGGAGTTCTCGTGCTTATTAAATATGAATGACGTAGATGGACGAGGAGGAAGATTCGCAAGAATGATACTTTAATTACTTCTCGATCGAATGGTTCGTAAAAGCTGATATTAATGCATCTCTTAGAAACGTTATAATTATTAATTAGCTGCCAAGAAATTTGATCTATCGCTCTAGATATTCATGAATTATGATTGATGATTTATGATAGGATCTTTTTTTGGGGAAATACCTACTTGAGATTTTTCTATCCTGTATACCCACTATCTGGATAATTAGCGTAAGACTAATTGGTATTAATTGTTTCGATATTCGTTTACATTTTTGACTGAAGTGTAATTTCGTTCACAAATATATTCAATTAAATAATTATACAACGGATTCAGAAGTATGTAACAATTGTACCAAATAATAATCTATGCAATCCCAAAAATAAAGACAAGTGTGTAATATTGGAACTTCGGTAATCGATATCGCGAAACTTTGGTAATCAAAATGTTGTTCGATGCTGTTGCCTTAGAAAAGAGCTCAAGGCATTAAACTTAACGGTAAAACTTTAGATATTCAGTTCAAGTCGTATGGGATGTGTAGAGATGAAATTGAAGTAGAAATTTATGGAGCTTGATATGTACAATACTGGATTTGTGGATTGCACGAAGTTGATAGTATCGAACACGATATTAACCATGCAAGCTTCTACAATAGTAAACATATAACACAGTGTAGATTATGGTCATTTCTTCGAGTGAAAATATGAAAATCTATTAATTAGAAAAATTTTGAAATTTTGAACAATTAGATTAATTTGGAAAACTTAAATATTCCAAAAATTAAAAAAAATAGAAAGATCAAATTGTTCAAGATATACGAGGAATTCAAAACGTAGTAAGTAAAAAATGAAAAAATTCCAAATTTTAATTGCTAAAAAATTTAGGACTCTGTAATTTAAGCGGTTCAAAGATGGAATGATTTGAAGAATGTGAGGAGGCCATGAGGTCCAAAGAATCCAGCTGTCCAAAGTCCATGGATCTCGAACAATCTTGGAATTCTGGAGATTCTGGATTGTGGATAGATTATCTGGTCTCTAAAGTGCTTCAATAATTTCCCAACTCTCACAGCTCCTTGATCAGAGTTACCTCTTTTACCGTTCTATGCATCTGTTGATTTTAATAATCCACAGTGTTTCACAAATTTAGCGAACTGTTATTTATTTCCACGCTAAGCGTAATATGCTTATATAGGAGGTGGTCTAATGAACTTTACTCAAATCAGGATGTCGTGCAAAGTAGTTTATTTCGGACTCTTCGGCGTCTGTCTATTACCGAAGCTAAGAACCGTCTCCCATCGAAATGGCAAAGATATCGCTGGGCCGAATCGATATGGGTACTCGGGTCAGGTGTTTGTCACTCGCCAAGAGGCGCAGGCCAAGCCATAAACCGTCCCAAAAAGCCTACACTTAAGATTACTATACTCTGCTGCATTCTCCACAATTTCACGATTTCTCAAATCCGACAAGTTTAGAGCCGTCAGTATTGGATCTCATCTGAAATCCCTTGCGTTTGCTCTAACGTGACGAGAGTTTCCAATATCACAATTGTTCTAAGCTAAGATCATCGATATTAAATTTCATTGCTCCAATTTCTTCTCTGTTGCATCCTATAAATTTTCAGGAACAAACGAGTCATCGTGTGATACGTTTTAAAAACGACTTGTTCCCTAACTGAATACGCCTGTGTAAAATGATCTTCATATCTAGACGGCTGGTGTCTGCACTACGTTCACTTTGACACATTTGATCCACCGAAACGCGGGTAATTCATGAAACGATGAAATATAATACGAAGTTTTTAAAATATGGTAGCAAATTCAACATTTAAATTTTAAATGTAAGAAGGGAACAAGGAAATTTATCCAAGAATTGTTAATTGATATCGTTGATAATTCTGATCTCTAAATTTCACATCTTGTAACATCGGAACTTTTACTTTTTAACGAAGTTCAAAATATTTTACTATTTCATTATTTCAATATTTCCAAATAATTTTCTACCTCATTATGCATACATTATAATTTTAATATTTACGTATATATTTTTGCGCATAATTTCTGTCATTACTGGATTAAATTCTCCTTGTTAGTAGACACAGAATGTTAAATTCCACATTTTATTATTGTTAATTTTCCACTATTTAATCATAACACCCAGTATCTTATTATCTCACGGAAGCAAAATATTACCTGGAATAATGTTTCTCAATTCCACACCTTACACCACCTAAGTACATATGCATACCGGATGGTCCACGTAAAAGAGGCCACCTAATTATCTTTTCCAGCAATTGCGGTACGAGAAAATTTTTTTATAAATCTCACTTTTCTTCAAGATCACCTATGTTCTTTTACACGAATTTGTATGCTTTTTCTACTGTGTGTTGTAGCAGACATTGACATGCACCTAAACATAACATAACTTTGGATTCTAAAATTTTAAGTCAAACGTGAAACTTCCTTTCATTTTTTGCCATTTTCTCCATCAAAAACCCTTTGAATTTAATTTACGCACAAAAATGTTCTCGTACCACGTCTTACGTGGTCCACCCTTGATAAAATTTGATATTATATGTTACATTATTTATTATTTCATACTCTTCAATATCTGACCAGCATTAGTCATTTTTCACGTTGGAAGAAACAGAGAATTACCTAGAACAGTGACGTTAGTGACGAGCATTCTCGGGGGGTGCGTGTTCACTTGACAGACGTACAATCCACGATCCTCCCTGCGCACCCCGGCGATCGCCAGCCTCCAGTTGTTTGGGTATTGGAAGCTAATGCTGTACCTGGGATCGGAAATGTGAGTGGTATTACCCAGAGTTAAAAGGGATGCCCAGTCGGCGTTGCGGCGTAACCACATGACCTATAATTGTGACACAGATTCTACAGTTGCACGTGATTCTGCGGGAGGACTTGTGCGATTAGAATACAGGGAGTTAAATCAGGGTGCATCATGGGACAATAATTATGTTCCGTCGTGTTACGTATTTAGAACGATCGTTGTCAGTCAATGTGTTCGATGTGTTTTATGTCGCGTTACTGTTATGATCATGTTACCTTTAATCGACAATGAGCTTGCAGATCAACCTTCAATTTGCATTATTTCTTGCTTAATCAATAATAGATAAATGAAATAAAGTTACTTCAACGAATTGACGAACTATTTGAAAGAATTTATTGTTACACTATGATCTTTTAACTTTGACGAAGTTATTAATTAAACGGTAATATCAAGTGTTTCAGAAATATCTGTTCAGTCATTTATATAAGTAATTGTGAAATTTGTTATGTTACCCTATGAGTAATACAAATATTTTTTTCTTTCGTTAGAAAGAGCGCGTACTGTTTTATTTCTTTATAATGATTGCATTGTAATTCTTTCAATCAATTTTTTTTGTAACATTGTCGATTCTGTATAATGTAGAACGTTTTTGTAGAAGCAGTATTGTGTGCATATATTTCATATCAGATCATAAATATCCGTACCTTCTTTCCGGAGAGCATTGCAACGCGACAATCAAGGAGAGCCGTCGCACCGAGGTGTAACGCAACGTTCTGGGATCCATTGATACCCTGGCCTTCTGCATTCTCGAAGTAAGGGTCCCAATCTGTGACTCGGTGATGCCTCAACCGAGGTATTCGAAGAGGTGGTAGATTGGCAATTATTTCCTCTGCAACAGAATTCATGAATGCTTGACGAGCTTCTCATTTTCGCCGATGTAAATTAGGTATTAACGAACAAAACCCTTTCATCTGGGTTCGTTGAAATTACAATTGGAGTCACGCTAAATCAATTGAAAGTTTCCATCGAACCTTTCATTTTTCACAGTTTAAGAAAAATATAATTGTTACATGGAAAAAAAGTGAAGAAGATATCAGAAACCAGTTCCAAATACCTGACAAAATTAAGAAAATATTTGTAACAGAAGAAAATCTCAAAAAAGCAAATCAAACTTATCTGTAGAACAAACCTTTATTGTAAAATATAGAATATCCTCTGTGGTTGCTAATAACCAAGATGTTGGGACCTTAAATTATATTTAAAAGAAATATAGTTATAATAAATAATTACAGAAATAAAAATATAACGACGATCTTAACTTATATTTAAAAAAGAAATAAAATTGTGTAGTATCGTAATTGTGAGGATGAGAGAGAAAGCGAGCGACGATAGCCAGGCCCAAAAGGGGAAAACCCCGGCGACAAGAGGGTCACGAAGGGCCTGGCTATAAAGTACGGCGTGCGAGGGATGAAAGGGCAGTGTTCAATTCTGACACGTCGTCGAGAATCGATTGAAAAATGTAGCGACTGTGTGATCGCCTGAACTTTTTGCTATTAACCTTTTTTGTGTTCTGGTTGTCTCGTTGGCGCGTTGCCCCGGTCAGCCCTCGCATTTCCCCTTCCCTGGTCGCGTTTGGGTCCCTTCACGGGGGTGAGTTTTGGGTGGGAGGCCCAGAGTCCCACTCACGTTCGGGCCTTGGTCACCACCCAACGCCAACCACTCACCCTCAAGGAGGGGGTGTTTTGCGTGAAGTACGCGTCACCTGGGCTTATGGGGAAAACCCAGGGTAATGGTACCGCTCGCTCGCGAGAACGTGCCTCAGCTCGCGCGGGTTTATGATACGTCAATTGCTATTGAGATGCACGAAGAAAACTCCAAATTCTCCGCCTTTATGAGAGGTTTGGAGCCCTCCTGACAATAAGGAATAATTAACGAACGAAAACATTAAACGCGTATTCAAACCTTAATCTCAAAGATAGCAGAGAGTCGCGTCCGTATCGTAAATCTGGTCTAACTTAAGTATCCTTAACAGGCAGTGTGTTTGAAAAAGTCGAGAGGCGTGAATCGAAGAAGCGTGTGTCAAAGCCCAATGTATCATAGTTATTCTTATACTTTGTTAATAAATATCTATTTATATTTCTGATCCCACAATTGTCACTATATTTCAATAAACGACAGTTCCTTCTAGCGACATGAATTAACAAGAAGAATACGGGCCAAATTAGATACCCGGTTAGCGAAGAAAATTTATTTTTCAAAGGAGGAAAAGCTGGTCTACCAGCACCAAATATATCCCTCTTGGTTTTATTTAAATGAGCCTGCCATAAATCTAGCAAGTTCCTGGTATACCGATTATATCTCCCTAATGAAAGGAAGATCGTGCCATCGTTCTTTTGGGGGGCACACGGTACAAAATGGAGGTAAAATAAAACATGGATCCTAATTCCTCTAAGGGTACAATTTCGCGAAGATTTTCCAGTAAGCTGTAGACATCCGTCTTGCATGGCGGCGTTGTAATAGGATTCTCACGGACGCGTCAAGCTTGTATAGGGAAACGCGAAAAATGCGAGCACGGCGTTCAAGTAAATTGCACTCTCATTCCATGAATCATTCCGCGATCGTTGATTTATCAGCTCGAGCGTCGTTTGCTAACAACACTCTTTGCTGTGGCGTAAATCACGTGAACGCTTTATTAAAGCTTTATTAAAATACACCGTGTTTGATTTATGATGTCCAGAGAGAAGTTTCTCATAAAACGATAGATCAATCTGAACAAATTGACTTGTATGATTTTCAAAATTCTACGAATCTACGCAACCTGATCTGTCACAGATTTAATTTTGCTTGTCTTTTTCTGTTTTTTGTTTTAACGGTAACACGAATTGTTTTTTATCAATTTATGTCATGTAGTAATTTCTATTCTTTGATTAAGAAGAATGCATCGTATTAACACTTTATTTTTAGCATCTTAAGTCTGCAAAGATTATAAACAACATCATCAAAAATACACTATCTACAGTAATTTCTTTTTATTCAATATTGATGAAAATTATTCCTCCTCAAATGAATATTAACACGTACTGACGCTTTGGAATGATTACTTAGCGAATAACATTTTGACCAATTAGTGATTAATTGGCAATTAGTAAACTACATTCAACTTTTTTACAATTTCACGCTGGAGAATTAAAGGATTGTTTAATTTGCATAGGAAGAGTTTCTATTTCTATCGATAGCGAATGATCCTATCGTTACGAAAATGTTAAAATCTTCGAATTTGCAATGAAGTATAAAATTTAATAAATTCGCGCATATGTCTGATGATTAAATAGTCCCGAAACAAATATTTTATTATTTATCACTTAAAATGATCAGACATGATCATACACAACCGTTGCTTTAAATTCAGTTGATATTAGTAATTAACAATTACGATGTGATACAATGTACTTAATTATTGTATACATTTCGTAAGTAATTCGGGAATGTGTTAAGTAAATTTTACCATTGAATCGTTTGTAAAGCTAACAGAAACGAATGATCCGATCATCAGGCAAAACTATCGTCGAACTCGAGCGATATTCCGTGATGTGGAAAAGTAAAATTCTTGGAACGTTTGAGATTGTTCATCGAACGGTTCGATGAGTTTTACTCACGGAGCTGGGGAAATCATCACAGTTTGCGGTTTCTGGAACGTGAACAATTTATCGATACGACCACTAATCTCATGTATAAACAGCGTTAATTTTACACGTGCATACACACACACGAACTTCTATTGAAATTTATTAGGTTTTAATTTTCGATAGCCTCTTTTATCAGTTCATTTTATTTTATCGATATTCTATTGTCACTACTGCACACAAAAAGATATATGTATAATACAGAACATATCGATAGCAAATGGGCAGTGTCAAAAAGGATAACGAAAATTGTAGTACAAGAGGTAAGATACAACTGCAAGCTGTTATTAACGTAAATTAATCTATTTACAGCATCTATAAATTTCAGCGCACATTATTCATAGGAATCCCTAAATTGCATCTACTAAATCAAATAACTGAATCCTTCATTAATTTAATGTAGGACGAAAAGCTGAGCCGGGTCACGTCAGATTCATAAGATTTGCTTGCTCTATACGTCAATTAATTTTTATCTAAATACGTTAAACTACATTTCCTAGGAACCTTAAAAAAAAATGGTAAAAAATGGTAAACAGCGATAAAAAGTATTTATATCCATCACATGTTCCCCTCCATATCAAGTAAGTTTCGTATATAACATCTTTCCATATTGTTATAAATAACGGAAATAGTCCTGGTGGACAAAGTTTTTGCCCCACTCTGTATATTCCACGAAGCTGCTGCACGCGCGAATAATGTGGGTCACAGATGACCCAGCTTTGTCAATCGACGATGAAACTACCAAAACACTGGTTCAACGTTAGACTCATTATAAACCAATCCTACTGTTAATCTATTCCACCTTAATACTAGCATATTCTATCGCTAAATCAACTCGCTTTGCGTTACGCTAATGAAATTTCACTTTAAAGTCTATCGCAGCCAGTAGACTATTTCTCCGTGACCCCTCATTTTTGTATCGCAACGGGAAATCTCATTTCTCGTTCCTTCGTTCGGCAACGCGACACCTTTGTGGCGGAGATCGAATCAGCGTGTCGAACAATCGATTCGCGCTCGACAAGCTATGCTCGCCGCGGGGGAGGATTCGTTTCTTCGAGTATTCAGATGCGATCGCTTTCCACTCGATGCGCCGCGAGTCTTTCGCTTTAAAATGCGACAAAGCGGCGAAACCTCGAAATCCCAGAACAATCGTGCTGCTAAGAGTGAGAGAGAGAGATAGAGAACGTTTGAGCTGGAAAAATTTTTCTAGTTGTGAGGGAAAAAAAAGAAAGGAATAAGTATGGAAGATACGAAAAAAAAAGGACGAGAGCAGATGTAATGAAGCGTGGAGAAGGAGAAGAAAGGGAACGAAGGAATCGTTTCTTCTCCATTCTCGGCTCCGTCTGCTGGTTTCTTTTTTTTATTAATTATTTAATAATACCGTAATATTCTGAAACGACCAGCACTCGTTCCGTGCATTCGAGCGGTGGAACGGGGATAAAGGAGGAGAGGGAAGATTGAAAGTGGCCAGAAATGGGGTACAAGGGGAGAAGAAGGTTGAAGAAATCGCGAATCGGAGCTTCGCTACTTAACTTTACGGCCTTTTTGCACGAGGGAACTTCCAGGTAAGAAGGTTGCAGGTTATTAGCAAGACCAAGCCTGACCATTCTCTATCATTCTCTCTTCTGCGCCAGATGCATGGAAACAAACGTTAATTCTATCCTGGATAATTCAGGCATCGCTGTTTCACTGATCATTGGAGCTAAGCTGCGTTAAGCATACACAACGTGCAAATTAAGCAACTTTAGTTACACGGAATATACATACATATGCAAATGTGAGATCTAGAAGCGGAGAATTAGTCAGTCCAGAAGTCAACGAACTTGTAACTTTTGTCAACCGTTTGTACACAGCTAACACTTGTTTCATAAGCGAGACTACACGAATAAACAATTAACAAATGTTACAATATTTGCAATTCTCCTTTATTCCTCTTCTAATTTAATTTGAAATGTTACTCTTGAGGGTTGTTACTAGTAAATAAATAAAAAAACATAGCATGTCCTTAAAAAAAACAGGGATAACTTTCACATCGTGATGACCACAGGATGGTCCCTTTTTTACCAAGCAATTTTTATTGTAAAAATTTCTTTCTTACTTTCATGGTTCCTGAGATTATCAAAGTGGCAATTCTTATTGGTCCACTCTGTATATTGCGCTAAACTAACACCCTAATTTTCAATTTATCATTCTGCACGTAGAAATA